GGGGGTCTGAATACTTTCCGTACCCACTGTATGTGTGTGTGTATGTATATATATATGCATGTATGTACCAAGAGCTTCTTAAAAACCACAACAAATTCCTTGTGTGTTTGCGCACACTTGGTGAATAAAGCTGATTCTGATTATGAAAATGTGACCCCTTTGAACCAACGGTGACAGTTTCCACATGATAAATAAAAAGGACACGACAGAGGATGATAGGGGTATTGATATTTCACTGAAATTAGCCTGCTGTACTCACTGTTTCACACATACGGTTGTGGTCAAAAGTTTACATCACATTGCAAACAAAATTATATAATACGTTTATTTATTTATTATTATTTAGGACTGGCCTGATGAAGTTATTTAATTTAACAGATGTTTACATTTTGTCTGCTAGTCAGAATTATAGCTGATTAAATACAAATAAATAGTGGTTTATGTTTTGTGATAGTGTTTCATGAGTCCTTTGTCCTGAACAGTTCAACTGCCCCCTTTTCTTCAGAAAAATCCTCCAGATCCTGCTAGGGGTATTGATATTTCACTGAAATTAGCCTGCTGTACTCACTGTTTCACACATACGGTTGTGGTCAAAAGTTTACATTTGCAGATTAACAAAATTATATAATACGTTTATTTATTTATTATTATTTAGGACTGGCCTGATGAAGTTATTTAATTTAACAGATGTTTACATTTTGTCTGCTAGTCAGAATTATAGCTGATTAAATACAAATAAATAGTGGTTTATGTTTTGTGATAGTGTTTCATGAGTCCTTTGTCCTGAACAGTTCAACTGCCCCCTTTTCTTCAGAAAAATCCTCCAGATCCTGCACTTTCTCAGGTTTTCCAGCATCTGTAAACTACTTGAATTGGATGATAAGAGGAAAACTTTTTCTTTTTTTTTTTTAATAAGTATAAAAAAAGTATTTTATGTAGCTTCTGAAGGGCAGTACTAAATGAACATATGTTCTTAAAACAAGAAACATTTACTCATCATCCTGTTCAAAATTTACACTGTTACGAATCCGGTTCATGAACTTCCATCCAATTGCCACCAGAGAGTTGCTCTTCCATTTTACTGACTCACTACAAATACTTTCTCATGTCACCCCGGACTACATTTCCCAGCAGCCATTTCACTAATTACAATTTCATCTGAAACCAATCACACACTCTATATAACACCCACTCAGATCCTGTTCAAACTGCAGAGTATTGTTTTAGTGTTTATGCTGTTTAGTGTAGCTACTTTACGGAGCCAGTTTCATGTCCTTGTTTAACCCTCTGGGGTCCGAGGGTGTTTTGGGGCCTGGAAAAGTTGACATACCCTGACATTTGTGCTTTTTTCAGTTGCTTACAAACATTTGAATGTCTAAAGTTTAATAACACTGTAATCAGCACAAACTGGGCTACTATAATATGTGAGCCGTATGTATTTACGTGATTGTGTTTTTAAGAAAACAACGTTTATGCATGCTTAGTGAAAAACTACAATTTTAAAGTCACTGAAATAAGGCCATAAAACACATACAGAACATTTGATCACAAGACTTTTGAGAACTGATCTTGAAGTCTAGAGTTTTTGCTTCAAAATTATGTGAAAATCATCTTACTCATTCACAGAAAACAATATATTGATTAAAATTTTCTAAGACACTTTTTGTGTAGAAAAGGTATATGCGAGGAGGCGTGAATGATCATGCATAATGCTGTGATTCACACCTGAGAAGACAAAGACCTGCATAATGAGCTGTCAGGTGTGTGACTGAGAGGGAATTGCTACAAGATATATTTTTTGTTTGTAGTTTATTTAGAATACATATAACTCACATAAAATAACTCATGGGAGTGTGTGCATCACATGGTCTTAGCCATACAGCAAATGAAAGTAACATCTGTAAAATAGTGAATGCACACTTACTCTAAGATTCTGAATGGAGTTGAAAACTGAACGAGCATCCCCTTACTGTGAGAGATGTAGGTGAAGGGAAGAGTGGTGTATTCAGTCCTAAAATAATTTTATAAACAATTGTAAGCATTTTTTTTCCCTCAGTACCTTAGTATAGTATGTATACTTCATGAGAAAACAGAATGCCAATAACAAAGAAACTACATTTTAACACTATCAACCACAAATAATATTACCATATAGTCTAGGTATAATAAAAGTACAATTACTATACTGTGCACTTACTCAGTATGATTTTCCAGCAAACTCAAAACTGAACGACACGTGTGCCTTTCTTGTGCAATTATGCCAGTGATGCAGCCTCCGTCCTAACCGAAAACTGAAACAGTTGTTAGCAATTACCAGAAGATGCATAGCTGATAAATAAATTGCATCACTGATAAGAAAGGACGCGCTTATATGTCTGTCGATGCATCACTTATTTACAGCTTACTAGCTACGTTTACACATCAGACGATCGCGAATGCCAATGACCGAGTATAAAACTATTTTATAGAACATCAAAAAAAACTTCCTGGCGTTGTGAGACATATGCAGTGAATGAATCTTCATAATGTTTCACTTGATTGTACATTTAGTCAGGAATCATGGTTTGGAAAAAGTAACTAGTAAAATATGTATGTTATGTCACACAGTAACACAATAGCAACTAATGCAAGTAGGCAAATAAAAAAAGGCTTACTATATCCTCCACTGAATATCACGCCGGCGCATTCTTCTGAGGAAAATCCAAAGCTTATTCAGGATTACTAAGGCTATAGGCAGGTGAGTTTTTTTTCAGGGTTGGAGCTGAACTCTGCAGGACTGCGGCTCTCTAGGACCGAACTTGCCTACCACTGGTCTAGTCAAAATATTGCATTGCCTGTTTTCTGATCTTTTGCCTGTGTATCTTGGATTAACCCTTTGCCTTGCTGTTTCGGATTGTGTTTGCACCTCCCCAAGCCCTTTGGATTATGTTCGCCGTTGATCGACCTACGCCTGTTTATCGGATTACTCTTGTGTCTTGCCCTCAATATACCTGTTGCCATTGTCTGACCCTCGCCTGTTTCTGACCATTCTATGAATAAAGCTTTGCAAATGGATCCGCACGTCTCTCGTCCCTGTTGCCTTGTTACAGAATACTCGGCCACACAAGGATCCAGCAGCTGTTCAAGTGGACACTGGCCAGGTATGGACACTACAAGAATATTATTAGCCCTTAAACAGGGCCCTCGATTGTTGGAGAACAATGTTCAAGAGTTTTTAGCCATCGCTCACTATTCAGAGTTACCAGACATTATTTTGATAGAGTTTTTCTGTGATGGCATTAATCAACCTCTTCAGTCTAAGTTAAGACGCAAGGGTCCGCATTCATCACTCAGCCAAATTTTGGATTTTGCTTTGTTGACTGTTGGCTCTCTATTCACTGTGGGTGTCGCGGAGGAACGCAACCCCGCACTCACTCATGTAAAGGCGGACGCACTAGAGCAAGCTCACAAAATGGCAGCGACAGCGGAGCCTGATCTCAAAATGGCGGACACAACAGCTCCCCGTTATGCCACAGCTTTCTCAGCCCATCTTCTTCCAGAAGCGAAGTAGCCGAGATGAACTTTAGGAAACATCTTGCTGCTTTGTTTGCTGTGATGTGGGCATTTATATGCGTGCGTCTCACGTGGACTATTGTAATAACAAAAGCGCGATCGGCACGTGGGCATGGTCACATTAGCGATAATGAGGGCGACGGGCCAAGACTTGACATCGAGTTTTCTAGTTCTAGTTTACATTGTCTAGTCCAGGGGTAGGCAAGTTCGGTCCTAGAGAGCCGCAGTCCTGCAGAGTTCAGCTCCAACCCTAATCAAACACACCTGAACAAGCTAATCGATGTCTTCAGGATTACTAAGGCTATAGGCAGGTGAGTTTTTTT